TTGAGTTTAATTAAATGGAGGATTTAATTTCTTTCGATGTCTCTCACTCACCATTGTTGTCACACACACACGCACTTGAATTGGGGTTAAAGGTTGGGTTCAATGTTTACGTTTTCATTGTGGTTTGACGGTAAAATCCTCAAATCAGACAAACAAAAACGAAACAAAACCTGTGGTTAAATTGATTTTTTTTTTTTTTTGGTTCGTATCTCCGATCCGCTCTTAATTTAATGCATTGCAATTAAAATAAATTTGCAGTTATTTCTCCCCCGGGAGCGAAATTTTAGACTTAATTACAGGTTATTCGTCGCTCGCGGGGTTACTTATTATGGGAGGGGGGCAATTAAATGGGTTTATGCAAATTTGTTGTGCCTTTTTTTAATTAATTTGATGCGGGATTTTATTGTTTTAAATCTTTGATTCAGTTTTAAGTTTTGAAATTATTCAATTTATTTGCTGTCGTTGATCCGAATGACGTAAATCACGTTACATTTAAAGTAATTATTTACGCATAATCTGAAATGACACTGTGAATTACAATGTCAGGGTTGAAATGTATATTTGTTTACCAATTAATTAAAATTAATTAAAATAATTGTAATAATACATAAATAATTATTTGGAAATTTCCACCTTTCGGTTGACTTTTTCGCAGAATTATTTAATATTTAAAGAATCGCCGTTACTCACTACTTTGTAATGGAGAAAATGGGTAGCTTGGCTTTTCAGTTTTTGAGGGATAGCCCATTCAGACCCCAAACATGAATAACAACTTCATGAAGCCTTTTTCATAAACGAAAGTTCGCAGGGAGAAAAAGTAGACATCACGGATGCTGTCAAATTTATATTTTAAATATTTTATATTTTTTCCTACCGAATAATTTTGGGAAAGGGAATTTTGCAGACATGAAATTATTTCTTATTTGCATTAGTTATTAGTTTGTTCGTCCTTCTATGGAAATCACTCTAGCTTCCGAACGAATTGAATAAGGTTGATAAAATTTTACTCAGATGTGTCTTTGGTCTGCAGAAACTTTGGTATCAAAAATGGGCTATATAGGTCCACGTTTAGGTATAGCCACCATATTACTGTACCTCCCTATATTCATTGCTGATGGTTTTAGCGAAATTATTCACCGGAATTGTTTAAAATTTCCTATTTGAGGTTCCTTTGTACTACAGTCTATGACAGATAGTTTTCTTTGTTTTCTTTGGTCCAGGTCTTCGTATAGCCCAATACAAATATACAAATGGAATGACAAACTTAAAAACCCTCCACCATAGTATGGAGGGTTTTTAAGTTTGTCATTCCATTTGTAACACCTTGAAATATACATTTTAGACCCCACATCTATGTCGATTTAGCAATGTCCGTCCGTCTATCCGTCTCTGGAAATCACTCTAACTTCCGAACGAAGTAAGTTGATAAAAATTTACTCAAATATGTATTATGTCTGCAGGACTTTTGGTATTGAAAATGGGCCATATAGGTTCACGTTTTCCTATAGCCCCCATATAACGGTATCTCCCGATATGTGGTACTTTGATGATTTTAGCGACATTATTTACCGGAATTGTTTCAAAATTGATATTTGAAGTTCGTAATGGATAATACAGCCTAAGACAGAAAATACGTCATGAAGGTCCACGTTTTCGTATAGCCCCCATATAACGGTAGCCCTCGATATTCGATATTTTGATAATTTTAGCGACATTATTTACCGGAATTATTTCAAATTTGGTACTTGAAGTTCGTAATGGATAATACAGCCTAAGACAGAAAATACGTCATGAAGGTCCACGTCTTCGTATAGCCCCCATATAACGGTAGCCCTCGACATTCGATATTTTGATAATTTTAGCGACATTATTTACCGGAATCGTTTCAAATCCCGCATTTGAAGTTCGTAATGGATACTACAGCCTATGCCAGAAAATTGTGTGTGCGGGGCCACGTTTTATAACCCCCATGGTACCTCCCTCTATTCGATATTTTGATGATCTTAGCTACATTATAACAGATTTTTTGCAAGTTTCGCATTTGAATATTGTAACGACTTATGACAAAAGTGCAGGTTCACGTCGTCGTAAAGACCCTAATATACGGCTACATTCGGTATTTTTAAGATTTTAACAGGATTTTTCTTCGGATTTTATTGTTTTGAAAATTGCCAAATGTGTACCAAATGGTGGGGAGTATACAAAGTTCGGCCCGGCCGAACTTACAGCTTTTTCACTTATTTTTTAATTAAAAAAAGAGCAACTGGAGAAAATTTAGTTTTGTAAAAACTCTCGGATTTTTTTTTTAATTTTTTTCCAGAGGTGGGTATTTTTCCCTGATCCCGGAAAAGTATATTTTTCTTGATGGACGAACACGGATATATGACCCAAAAGTCCGGGTCCAATACCCAAACATACTAAACAGATATGGAGAATATAGGTGTCATCAGAAAGCTAATGTATATATCAATCCAACAAGGGCTCCTTTGATTGAAATGGTTCAGGCGTTGTATCAAAATTACTGATTTTTTTGACCCGGATTTTTTTTAAAAAGCTCAAAAGTCAAAAAGGCCCCATTTTGGGAGTCCACAAAATTTATGTCAAAGTATAGTTGACACTATCATCATTCCAAAATCCTACAATATATATGTGATTAACGTTCTAGGATTCAGAGATATGGGTCTTTGAACCGGGACGAGCCAGTATTGAAAATATGTTTTCAGTATGAAAAAATAACTTCGCGTAGTCGGTGTTGGAAAGAGAGGAAATCTCAAGCCCCGGCCAAAATAGCCTTTTTTAAAATGGCCATAACTCCTTAAATATTGACATTTTGGGATTTTTAGCATCGTTTTGATTGCAGTAATTTAAAGTTGAAAAATAGCCTTTCTTAAAATGGCCATAGCTCCTTAAAAAATTGACATTTCGGAAGTTTTTAGTATCATTTGGATTGCAGTTATTTAAATTTTAAAAATAGCATTTTTTAAAATGGCCATAACTCCATAAATATTGACATTTCAAGGTTTTTAGCACCGGTTTAATTGCAGTTATTTAAAGTTGAAAAATATTCTTTTGTAAAATGGCCATCGTTTTCTCTGAAATTTGTTTTTAGCTCCATTAATTTTAAAATATCTTAGAAAGATTGTCAGATTATCCATAACGTCTGGGGAAGATCATTTGACTCTGAGAAGGTCCAATTAATATGTTTACCAAATTTGAGAATCCAAAAAAAAACCCTTGAAATGTAATCAAAACAATAAAATCCGAAAAAAATCCTGTTAAAATCTAGAAAATACCGAATGTAGCCGTATATTAGGGTCTATACGGCAACGTGAACCTGCATAGGCAACTTTTGTCATAAGCTATTACAATATTCAAATGCGAAACTTGAAAAAATCTGTTTATAGTGTAGCTAAAATCATCAAAATATGGAATATAGAGAGGTACCATGGGGGTTATAAAATGTGGACTGTAGTATCCATTACGAACTTCAAATTCAAAATTTGAAATAATTCCGGTAAATAATGTCGCTAAAATGATCAAAATACCGAATATCGGGTGGTACCGTTATATGGGGGCTATACGAAGACGTGGACCTATAGGGCCCATTTTCAATACAAAAGTCCTGGAGCTGCATAGGTTACTTTTGACATAAGCCATTACAATATTCAAATGCGAAACTTTGGAAAAGATCGGTGAATAATGTAGCTGAAGTCATCAAAATACCGAATATCGGGTGGTACCGTTATATGGGAGCTATACGAAGACGTGAACCCGCACTGACAATTTTCTGTCACAGGCTGTAGTGTTCATTATGAACTTCAAATACCAAATTTGAAATAGTTCTGGTAAATAATGTCTCTAAAATCATCAAAATACGTAATATCGGGAGGTACCGTTATATGGGGGCTATAGGAAAACGTGGCCCATTTCCAATACCAAAAGTCCTGCAGACATAATACACATTTGAGTAAATATTTATCAACTTACTTCATTTCGTTCGAAAGCTAGAGCGTTTTCCACAGACGAACAGATGGCCGGACATTTCTAAATCGTCATAGAATTTTATGCTGATCAAGAATATATGTGTACTTTGTGGGGTCTAAAATGTATATTTCAAGGTGTTACAAACGGAATGAAAAACTTAATATACCCTCCATACTATGGTGGAGGGTATAAAAAGAAATCCATAGCAACAAATTTGTTATCCAGTGTTATCAGTTGAGCTCCACGTACATATATATGTTTATAGCCTTGTTCATAAAATCGAATAGAACTACTTGCATAAATTGTATGTATGTATGTATGTTTGTGTGCATAACATTTCCTACAGCATCTTATCCCGCCACATAATATCAATGTTTATTATGATATATGTAAAGATAATTCTAAGGATAATTCTATCCCAGATAAGGAAGACATACATACATACACTCATATTTCCTTCCTTCCCTTAGGCAAAGTAACAAAATATACACAAAACTCGAACTCGGTTGACTAGCCGGACTAGATTCTAGTCCGCATCAACCAGACTGCTGCTATTCATTCTACTTTATAGATTTGAATATTAAATTTGTTCGGGCCATTAAAGTGAATGAATGGATTTTGACCCCTGATTTGGGTTGGCTCACACAACTGGTCAACTGGTTCTACAACATGATTGTCGATTTGCCACATAAATTTATAAATAATTTCACTAATTGAAATTTGGTTTGAAATATACATTTTATATGTCGCAGTTATTGAATTTCGTCGAAGTCATGGCGATAATGATGATATATTTCATTTATTTTATTCAGAGATTTGTGCAGTAATTGAAATTTTAAATGTTTATATTTTAAAATAATATGTTAATTTATTTGTTTTATAATTGCATGGGATAATAAATAAAACTCTTAATTAATATATTATTTTTATTCTACTTTTTTTTAATTTCTTCACACACAATTTTTGGCATTTGATTCTTTTTTGGTTCTTTCTTCCCTTCCCATTCCTTTTCTTTATTTTATTATTATTATTATTTTTTTTTTTTTTTTTGTTAAATATCCACTCCATGAATTGTCAATTTATAATGCAGCTCATGTTCGGCAGGCAACAGGAAACGTACGACAGTGAAATTAAAACCAATGCCACCCATTACAGGATACACTTGTAAATCTTGGTTTCCGGTGTGGTTTTCGTTATTAGGGTCAACAGCATCGGCATCATTGCCATTATTATAGTAGGCATGAATTCCAATTATGGTGTAGGTATTTGAATTTTCCTGGAAATAGAAAAAATTACAGACAATAAGGAAGTCAATAAATACTATACCATTCTACATGCATTTAAGACATTCTCAATATATAGAAGAAAGAAAGAGCTAAATTTAAGAGGTTTTTAGAAGGATTTTACAGAACTTTTTAATAGGTTTTTAGAGAACTTTTTTAGTTCTTCTAAATAGAGAAAACCTTATGTAAGATCTCCTGATATAGCCAGTCTTGTAATAGGTCGAGTACACACTTGCAAAATTCCAAACCATTTTTAAGGAGTTTTCTATTGAAAGGAGGGTGTCTGCGATTTGCCTTTTTATACCCTCAGCCATATGGCTACAGAGGGTATATAAAATTTGATAGGTCAAAATGTGCCTAGTCGAAATAACGATTTTAGACCCTAGGTCTCTTTGGACCAAACCCTTTTCAGAACATTTGGAGGCGATCTGGCGATGTACGTCTGTCTGCCTGGTGTCCAAACTGGGTACATCATAATATTTTTGTCAAACTTAGATCGAGTTCGGAGATGGGCAATATCGGACCACTCCTTCTGGTACCTCCCCCACAAAAGGTCGAAATTTTCAAAAAATATATTTTTTGCACAGAAAGAGAAAGGATAATTCGATTTTGCTCCATTTTTGCAAATCCTACTATTTTCGTCAGTTCTAGGTCTCGTGCCAAAATGGACAATATCGGTCCACTCCATCAAGTACCTCCTCCACAAAGGGTCAACATTTTGAATAATTACAACTCTCATTGAATGTTCAAAATTCACATATCCCAATATTTATATTAACCCAAGGTCTGCTGTTAAGATGGGCAATATTGGTTTATTTCTTCTAATAACTCCCCCACAAAAGGTCGATATTTTCAAAAAAATATATTTTTTGCACAGAAAGAGAAAGGATAATCCGATTTTGCTTCAACTTTGAATATGCTAATATTTACGTCAGTGCTAGGTCAGGTGTGAAAATGGACAATATCGGTCCACTCCATCAAGTACCTCCCCCACAAAGGGTCAAAATTTTGAATAATTACAACTCTCATAACATCTCAATATTTCCTTGTATGATTTTAATGTATCTGGGCGATTTCGGATCGGAGAGCTTTAAGAAGTCCTCGATAATTAAAAGACGTTGTTATTTATTTATTTATTTATTTATTTTTTTTTTTGGCAGAAGAACTTTCGTATGTCTTCTACAGGAAAAAGCCAGTAAGGAAAGTCCGGCGTGGCCGAATATATGATACCCTACACCACTATGCGTATTTAGTAGAGCTCCCGTACCTAAAAAGTTTATATAGTGGGATATTATGTAAATGTTATGATTTTACTTCGATAAAATTTGACAAAGGTGCATAAAACGCATTTCAGGCACTAGAAACCCAAATCTGAACCGACATTCACCAAATTTGAAGTTCTTTTTTCCAGTATAAATTCAGTCAGAAATTCCAAAATCAAGTCCATTTGAGCAGATATTAACTATTTTGCGCACAAAAAACGTGAAATCAGATAAAGATATATATGGGAGCTATCTCCACATCTGAACCGATCGTAACAAAATTGTAAACACTTATTTCTGAGCTGTACCGAAGATTATCGTTGTGGAGTGCATATTACGCATGTGAGAGACTTAAAACCCTAAATAGGATAAAACATATATACAGGGTGAGATAAAAAAAACAGCAACAAAGTCAAACGCCATAATTTTTAATTTTTTTTAATTTTAATCAATGAAAGCAAAAAATGTCGGAAATAGCATAAAATTTTAGGAAAAGCTTAGATTTGTTCGAATTAGTCACCTTTGTCACGAATTATGGCCTTCAAATGGCCAATAAATCATATTCACCGTCACACGCTGCCCGAATGTTGCTCTGCGGTATTTTGGCCTATTCCCGGCGTAGCGCTTGCTTGAGGTGATGGACACTTTGGTATTTTTGTTGTGCCAACTTTGTTTTCCAAAATACTCCACACACAATAGTCCAACGGATTGGTATCCGGAGATTTTGGTGGCCATTGTGCGCTGGAAATGAAGCGAGGAGCCTCATTTTGTAACCATTCTTGGTTGGTGTGGTCTTGGCGTGCTGAGTCCTGTTGGAATGTCCAAGGTCTGCGGCCAAAATGTTTGCGTGCCCAAAGCTCTAATTCACCCTCCAGAATATTTTCGCGATAATATTCGGTATTTATTCTGATGTCGATTAATACGAGCGGAGAGTGACCATCGGCTGTTATGGCAGCCCACACCATCACCATGGCCAGCGCTTGAGTTCTGGTGGCCAACCGAAGGTACAAATTTTCAGCTGACCTCTTTGCCAAGTAAACACGATCCTTTTTTTTTTTTTTTTTGTTTACAGACTGCTGAACAACGAATGTTTTCTCATCGGAGAAAACCAAATTCGGCAGTTCAACACATTCGGCTAAGCGAAGCAACTCTTTCGCTCTTTTGAGTCTATTTTCTTTCTGTTGCGGTGTAAGTTCTTGCATTTTTTGGAATTTCAATGGCTTTACCCCAAGCTCATTTTTCAATATTTGCCAAATGGAATATTGCGATATGTTCAGCTCACGAGCCATTTTTCGGCCAATGCGACGCGGGTTACGATCAAGTCGCTTCTTTACTTTTCGAGCCATTTCTGCCGATGTTGCTGTTTTCTTCCGTCCGCTTTCTTGACGTTGGGCCACGCTACCAGTATCACGGTAACGAGCGATGGTACGAGACACAAAAGATTTATTCGCATTTAAATGCTGGAGTGCTCTAACGATAGCCACTTGTGGTTCTCCAGCCAAATATAAAGAAATCACGCTTGAATTCCATCACGAATAACTTTTTTTTTGCAAAATTCTCACCAAAATGAGCTGTCACTGGAATAATTTAGTAGCTGTAGGACGAGTGGCCTAGAAATGACAGTAGTCTGAAGTTGGCTGCAGTTTTTTCATCTCACCCTGTAGTTCCCAAATTTTGACTACTGCAAAACCATGATACGCATTCAAATAAGTTTCATAGTTGGTATGATCTACTTCACATAAATCCCGAGTATAAACTTTTTTTGTTACGACAGCGACAGGGTATCATAAAGTCGGCACCGCCCGACTTTCGAACTTTCCTTACTGGTTTCAAAAATCTACTTTTTTATGTGACGTCACCCCTCTATGCGTCTGTTGGTAGTCTACCTCTAAAAGTATTTAATTGAAAAGCGAATTTTTAACAATGTTGTATTAATAGGTTTTATATAAGTCTTCGACTGATAGAAGACCTTTCAGATATCAAGTCAAACATAAAACTATTTTTATACAATTTTCCCTTATCGAACTTAACCTTTTTTATACCCTCTACCATACTATGGAGAGTATATTAACTTTGTCATTCCGTTTGTAACTCCTCGAAGTACTCATGCCAGACCCAACAAAGTATATATTATCTTGATCAGCGTAAAATTCTAAGTCGATTTAGCGATGTCCGCCTGTCTGTCTGTATATCCGTCTGTCTGTTGTAATCACGCTATCTTTCAAACGAATTGAGGTAGAAGGCTAAAATTTTGTACACATGTTTATTTTTCCAGTAGGCAGGTTAAGTTCGTAAATGGGTCATGTAGGTCCACATTTTCATATAGCCCCCATATAACGGTACCTCCCGATATTCGGTATTTTGATAATTTTAGCGACATTATTAACCAGATTTGTTTCAAATTTGGTATTTTATGTTCGAAATGGATACTACAGTCTAAGACAGAAAATTGTCTGTGCAGACCCACGTCTTTGTATAGCCCCCATCTAATATATAAGTACCTCCCTATATTCGGCATTTTGACGATTACAGGTACAATACCCACCGAAATTGTTTGAGATGTCGTATTTGAAGTTCGTAATGGATGCTACAGCCTGTGACAGAAAATTGTCTATGCTGATCCAGGTCTTCGTACAGCTCGGATATAAAGGTATCTCCCTATATACGATATTTTGATGATTTTAGCTGCATTATTCACTGCTTATTTCAAGTTTCGAATTTGAATATGTAGGTCCACGTCGTATAGACCCCAAAATACCGGCTAACTTCGGTATTTTTAAAATTCGTTCAAAATCGTGGAGGGTATTCAAAGTTCGGGCTGGTCGAACTTACCGCTTTTTAAGTTGTTTTATTTTATTTTATTTTATTTTTTTTTTTTCAAAATTCTCACTTTTTTTGTTAATACTCACCACTTCTGGATATTTGACATCCAAAACCGCCGGGCCTTTTAACACAATATCCTCATCGTACAATATTGTAGAATATTTCGTGACATGACCCCATGCAAATATTTTCGGGACCTCATCTGCTTCCGATGACACTGGCAAACGTTTCGCCGCTGTAGTTGTGGCTGTGCCAGTGACTCGCCTTACAGCTGCAGGCTGAATGTGGCCTCTGTTCAACCACAATGAAGAGGTGTCTGGCGAGTGGCCTTGAGTTTTTCCATGACTGCTAACTTCATGGGAAATAGTTGTAACACCACTTGTCGTCTCAATAGTTGGTGTGCCAAAACTTGTTGCCGGCATCATCAACAACAGCACTAGATATGCCAAAAACGGCGGCGGCGGCAGTTGAGCGTAAAACACTTTTGCCAAAATGCCAAAAAATTCCACAGCATTGCAAAACAACCGCATCCTGGGGCCTGGTGGGGGATGTGGATGGTATGTTTGAGTCGCCTCTTATAATGGGGATCTCCAAGAGAGATTCTTATTCAATTTAATTTCGTTTTTTTTTTTTTTTTTGTTTTGTTTTTGTGTTAAGAGTTAATGAGCTGGCAAAATAAAATAAGTTAATTTGGAGTAATTATTTTGGGCTTACATGGTTATAATTTTTTCTCAATTTTGGAAGCAATGACAAAGTTTGTTATCCCAAGGCTTGAGGCAGAATATGGGACACATTTTAATATTTTTATTTTTTATTGTGTTTAAGTTTTAAAATGCTATAGAAGATAATTTTAAATTTCAATTATTACGATGAACCTGTTGGAATTTTTCCAAAAAAGATCATTTTCAAAAAAATCAACAAATTACACAAAAATTATTTCCAATGCTATTTTTGTCCACCTGATTTATTTAACTTATAGAACAAACTAAATAACTGTCTACTTGTTAAACTTGTTTTGTGTATTTGCTATTGTTAACTGAATTTAAGTTGCAATTTATCAAATGTAAACAAAAATCAAGAAGTTATATTGACGCTCCAAAAGGCACAGTGTTTCGAAACCGCACAATAAATATTTTATCAAAAAAAACTTGGTGGGAAATAATATCCACAGTACATCTTTAAAAAGAATCTACTGGCTAAAAAAATAGCAAAGGTCTTTGGTCCATAGAAGGCCTGCCCTATGTTTTTTTTTTTTTTTCATGGAATTCAGCCACATTGAAAACCTATAAAGGACCTTGTATTCAAACAAAGTCCCTTCAAAAGTTTTCACTGTATATAGAAGGCCTACAAAAATTTGTGAATGTATAGCAAACCTGGAAGAAGATCTTTATGCAATTTCCGACCACAAAAGGGTAAGAGGCATTTCGAAGAATTTTAACCGAACCATCTATCCATATAAGGCTTTAAAAATATAAATATCTGAAAAATATATAATAGATGGTCTTTCGTCCAAAAAAAAAATGTGTACGCATAGAAGACCTGGGGAAAATCTTTAGGAGATTTTGGGACCATAAAAGTTCTTATTGGGATCTTGGCTCCATGGAAGGCATTTCGAAGAATTTTAACCTAGCCTTCTGTCAATATAAGACTTGAAAATGGTTTTCTGTCCAAAAAAGTTCAATAGATGTTCTTCCGTCCAAAAATTGTGTACGTATAGAAGACCGGGGAAAATCTTTAAAAGATTTTGGGACCAAATAAGTCCCTATTTTGGTCCCTAAATGTAATTTCGAAAATTTTTTTTACCTAGCCTTCTGTCCATATAGGACTTTAAAAAAGGCCAATAGATTGTCTTCCGCCCAAAAAATTATGTACGTATAGAAAGCCTGAGAAAATCGTTAGGAGATTTTGAGACCATAAAGTCCTTATTGGGTCATACAAAACTTTAAAATGTTTTTCTGTCAAAAAACCGATCAGTAAATGGTCTTCCGTCCATAGAATTTATGGGAGGACTTCTTCTATAGAGTATATATTCTCTCTTCTCTCTATAGAGGATCTATTGAATGTATTCAGCCTATAAAAATCCTGCATGTTATGTATGAATTATGGAAGGTATTCTATTTATAGAACGGCTGTAGAGGGTCTTGTATCCAAAGAAGAAAAATTGTAAAAGACCTTTTGCACTCAAAATATCGGTAGAAGATGTTTCGTCTCTAGACGAAAAATCGTTAATCTACAGGAGACCCCTAAATGCTCTCCGAAGACGAGGACAAGGTCCACTGTCTTTAGAAGACATGTAAAGACATAAACATCTTCTTTCTACAGAATACCGGTAAAGGTTTTTATGCCTATTTAAGAACTGCGAAAGGATTTCTGTTTATAGAAGATTTGTCAAAGGTCTTTTGATTATTGAAGGTCTTCTGTCTATAGAAACCTTCTTAAGTTGTTATCTATATGAAAATTGTGTCAAAGATCTTCTGCTTAAGGAAGATATGCTAGAGGTCTTCTGCCAATAGAATATTTGTCACAAGTATTTTGTCTACAAACGACCTGTTAAAGGTCTTCTGTCTATAGAAGACCTGTCAAAGGTATTTTGCCTAAAGAAGACCTACCAAAGGTCTTCTGTCTACAGAATATCTGGTTAAGAAACTTCTATCTATAAAAAATTTCCAAAGACCATCTTACCAACAAATTAGAATTTTTGAAGAACATTTTTCCGCCCCCTTGTAAGAGTCTTCTATAGAAAAGTAAATCTATCAGAGATAAAAGCTCTTTGAAAGTATTCACATGACAGGAAAGAGAAGGCCTATTAATGGTCTCTGGTAGAGAAGGTATTCAATAGTCTTCATGAAAAAAGAAGGCCTTTCAACAATGTTTTTTTTTTTTTTTTTTTTTTGATAATCCTACCTTTTCTTGTTCGTCTCCTGTAGAGAAATACGTTCCGAAGACAAAAGATCGTTTATTATAGACAAAATACATTTTCAAAATCTTCAATATAAAGAAGATCCATAAAAGTCTTGTATGGTCTTCCATAGATAATAGGTATCAAAAAAAACTCTTTATAGGCATAAGACCCATATAAACCCTTTTAAATGTTCTCGTTCCTTAAATTACCCTTCCAATGGATTTCTTTCCGTAACCAAATTTTAAATATATAATTTATAAATTTAAAATGTATAATATAATTTAAAAATTTAAACATATTTTTTTTTTCGAAATACTGTGTTTTCCCCACTGCCTCAACATGTCTATTCACATGTACCTGTGCGTGGCCGAAGAGACATAACAGAAATACACCAATAAGTGATAAGAAATTCCATTATCAATCACAAGCACCCACCCGGTTTGGGGTTTGTCAATGTGACTATTCAACACCCTTTTATGAGTAATTATGCGACATTTTATGGGTCCAAAAAATTAAAACAATGCAGAAATTAATAACCACTACCAGAGTTAGTTAGGGTACTTTTTTATGTGGAGAACAAGGCAAATTTATGTTCCCAAGTGTAGCAATCAACGAATTTGAAAAAAAAAATTGAATTGGAGAGAAACAAATTGTGAAAAAAAACACAGCTAATGGCCTCCAACATATTGAAGGAACTTAAAAAATTTCCAAAAAAAATTTCGCCGAAAAATACCGCTCAAAGGAAAACCATTATATGGGGGGCATACGAAGACGTGGTCCTGCATACACAATTGATTTCATAGGCTGTAGTACCCATTACGAACTTCAAATACGAAATGTAAAACAATTCCAGCAAAAAAAGTTCACTAAAATCATCCAAATAGCAAATATCGGGGGGCTATACGATATCGTGGACTTATATAGACAATTATCTTCCAGAGGGTAAAGAACACAGAAGGAACTCCTTGTGTGGATTTTAAGACAATTTCATATAAAAAATTAGCTACAATCATTAAAATAACGAAAATCGGTTATATGGGGGATATACGATATCGTGGGCTTATATAGACAATACTCTTCCAGGGGGCAAAGTACTCTGAAGAAACTCTTTGTGTGGAATTTCAGACAATTCCATATAAAGGTGTGGCTAAACTCATCAAAATACCGAATATCGGTCGTTATATGGGGACTAAACGATATCTTGGACCGATATAGCCCATCTTCGATTTTGGCCTACCTGCAGACAAAATACTAATCTGTGCAAAATTTTAGCTTCCTATCCTAATTCGTTTTGACTCTAGCGTGATTACCACAGACGGACAGACTGGCTGACAAGGCTAAAACGTCTTATAATTATACGCTGATCAAGAATATATATACTTTGTTAGGTCTCAAATTATTATTTCGATGAGTTACAAACGGATATACCCTCCATACTATGTATGGTGGAGGGTATAAAAAGTAAATTGTTTCTGGCCATAAATTCCGTGCAGGTCAGTATTTTTATAGACCTGTGTGTTATCAGTCGATATCTCTTTCAGTCGTTGCGATAATACATTTTTTTCTTATCGCTCTGAGTATCAATCACATTTACTCTCAATTTTTATGGGCCACATTGCAGCGAATATCAGCGCTACAGTGTTGTATTCAAACAAATAATTTTGAGAATTATCGAAACAATTGTCTGCTGCTCAATTTTACCTGAAAATTTGTAATTAGTATCGAACTCTATATTTACAACAGATTTCACCGTAATCTGGTATTTTGGTTAACCAAAGAGTACAACATCCTGTCTCTTGTATTAGAGAGGTTACAAACGAAACGACTCTTTTCATGAGTGTTTAAAAATAATATTTTTGACATGTGAAGCATTTGAATTCTAGGTTCTACCTTTGAAAGATTAGTGTGGATAATGAGGTATTGTTCTTAATTACACCGGCCTTGAACTAGATTATAACAGAGGTTTGAAACTAATACGGCTTTAGGGCGAAGCAGGGAGAGAGTATTGTATTATTCCAGCAAAGCTATCAACGTGGAAACCATTTTTCTGTCCAAAACTATTTCAAAGTTTCCATATCTAAAACCAAGGAAAAAAATTACTTCAATATCAAATTTCAGAATTTCAGCTCAATACCAAATTGAGTAACATTTAGTACAAATATCGAAAACAATCTACATCTCTCCATCCTATACATCAACAAATTAGTACGATATAGTACTTTTCGAATAATAATAGTACGCACTTGCACCAGATTTCAACACCAGATACCAACAGAGACATCTTTATCAAAATTTCGAGATTCCAGCTCTCTATAAATTCACTCTATACCGAATTTAGTACCATTTAGTACTTTTCGTATAATTTTTGTTCTCATTTGCAGAACCGTTCTATATGTCAATTCCAGACACCAACAGTTATTGCAATAAAATATAAAATCATATAAAATTTTACGGTTTCATCTATATCCCTTCACCCCGTACAAAATTTAGTACCATTTAGTACTTTTCGAACAACCATAGTACACATTTCCATTTCGATATCTCAGTTCCAGATACCAACAGAGACCTCAATATCAAATTTGAAAATTTAAGCACTACCCCTTCACCCAATACCAAATATAGTACCATTTAGTATTTTTCGAACAACTATAGTCCACGTTTCCTAAACCACCCCCAATTCCAAAACCACCACCAAATCTGAAACATAGATACCATCAGTAGTCTAACTATCAAATTTCAGCATTTTATCTCTATCCCTTCAACAAATAGCAAATGTAGTTCAATTTAGTACTTTTCGTACAAACCAACGCCAAATCTCAAAGACAGATATCATCAATAATTAAAATATCAAATTTCAAAATTGTACCTCCATCCCCCAGTACCAAATTTAGTACATTTATAGTACAGATTTCCGAAACCATCTCCATATCTCAATACCAGATACCAATAGAGATCTCAATATCAAATATCGGGATTCCAGCCCTATCCTATCATCCAATACCAAATTTAGTACCATTTGATACTTTTTGTACAATTTTGGGCCGCATTTCCAAACAAATCTCAAATATAAATACCATCAGTAATTTAAAAATCAAATTGCAGCCTTTTATCTCTATCCCTTCACCCAATACCAAAGTTAGTAATATTTAGTACTATTTA